GCAGAAATTTTTGGAATCCTTTGCAGACCACTATGAAACGGAATTTTTCCGCAGACGTAATAACTTAAAGGTAAATATTTATAATAGTTAACAAACTATGGTATATATAACTATTAACTATTTTTTGATATTATATTTATTTAAAATTCAGTTTCTAAATTATAAATTTTGTGTTTTCGAAGGTTTTTGTGAAATTGAGTAAAAAACTTTTAAATTAGTTATTTATTTTTTATTATTATTTTATATAGTTATAATCTATATAAATAGCGCCAACGTTTCGGACTTTATTTGCCTCCTTTCTTAGTGCAAATTGTTATAACAACCGATTCTGGCTTCTGTGAAACTGTTCCCACAAACCTTACAAAACACAAATTACTAACAAATATAAATAGAATAATATTGAATTTTAACAAATAAAAATATAAAAAAGATATGATTAATTAATTCAATTATTCTACAGCTGATTTATGATTTTTTTCTAATATAAACACAGCAAGTGAATTTGTTAATAAACTTTTACAGCAAATTAACAAAACTCCAGAAAAATGTGCAAATATAAAAGTCAAGTAGGGTTTTGGGGGTCAGTTGATTAAGTAGTGATAACTCTGAGCGTCAAATTTGGCAGGGCACCAATTCGATTCCTGGTATTTGCAGAGTCAAAAAAATTATTTACGAATAATTAAATACAAGAATTATTTCCAAGACCACTCATGATGAGTATTTGGCAATACTCAAAACGGCTGAAACAGCTGTTGGTCAGCCAAAAATTCAATTATTTAAAATAATATAAAATGAATTTTTGTTGTTGTAGTTCACTACTGTTCGAAAATAATAAAATATATAATAATAAAATAAATAATAATAAAACAAATAATAATATAATAAACAATAAAATAAATAATAATAAATAATAAAAAAAGTACTCGTAAGTAAATAATCTAATTCTAATATTATTTATATATAATGGACTTATAATAATTCCGAGATATGAGTTCCTACCTAGATAGTATTTTCCATGATATTAAATTGACTTCATTATAGCTGGGCGAAATATATATATATATAAATCATTTATTAAAATTAGTTCTATTAAAATTTTTAAAATTAGTGATAACAGTACAATCCATTTGTTTTCGTTGTTAAAGAAAAATAAAACTTCATATATATTTTATATAATTTTTGTTTTCGACATTAAAAAACACAAAATATATATAATATTGTATTTACACTAAAAGTTATCACATGTCATTAGAACATTTTTATACAGAATTTCCACGAATTTAGTACGAAAATCGTACATGTTTACATATATTTGTAGAGTTATTTGTAATATATTGTATATATATATAAAAAATATCAAAAATATCAAAAAGAAATTATTGATTAGCTACTACACTTGATATAATTTAGTTTTGAATTTAATTAATTTTATTATATATTTGTTTATAACTCATAAAAATGATAAATTAATATCTGTTACTCATTAAAAAAAATTGATTAATTAATTTCATCCGGTTTTAATGGATATATAAATCTATATGTGGAAAAGATATACATTTAAAGCGGCATTTTGCTTACACTTTATATTTCTTCCATATTGCATGACCAAACCTATTGAAGAGATCGAGTGCATTCCATATCAAAATCGTTCTGACGAATGAAAAATTGTCTTTCCAGCAAAGTGAAGCGTAACATAACACATAACAAAAACTGTTGGAACAGTCAATACTTATATTATTAGTAGTATACTTTTATAATACGAATGTGTACCGCTATATTTTCAATTTTCAACATTTAAAATATTTGAGTACTCATTTTAATCAAAGTACGCATAGATGTCTATTTTCGTCCTGTATTTTCCGAAATTAGTTCATCTCATAACATCATTTTTTCAGAAATCAATAAAATCTTATGCATTAAAGGGAAATTTTTCTTATTTTTATTATCTGACTTTTTCTTCTACATATATTTTTCTGATGCTCAGAATTTTACTTTAGTGGTTTACCTTTACCACTGACAATAGTGAAAGATAGAACCTAATTATCGATATTAGATTAGATATAGATAATTATCGACAAAGATTCAAGCACAGTTTTAAAGTCAAAATATCTTTATAAACATACGTGTCGGTGTTTATGATATTATTTTATCCATAGTTTCTTACATTATATATAAATCAATTAGTTAAACTGATTATGTATGACTTAGTTCCTAAGTTATACATCCTAAGAAATTCTATGAACATAGAATATTGAAAGTGGTGAATCCTTAATTCACAAAACACCTCACCATTTTAACCGTCTTTGCGCATTAGTAAAATTTAGCAATTTGCTCTGATTGCTCTAGACTGCTTGAAATGACATTATTTAGTGGTCAGTTTATTTGACTCGATTTAGTAGCTATCATTGAAGTACTGGTTAATAATGATACTTATAGTAATATATTTAATTGTTTCTGGACGTAGTGTGGATTATATAAACAATAATTTTTAATTCTTCAATAGGGGTATTCACTTTGTCTTCCAAAGTCATTGCTGCAAGTTGCAATAAATTTACAGATTGCGCGAGCTTGCAATGGACAAGAACAAAATATACGCACAAAGTTTCTTGCAGATGCTTGCAATCTTGCTATACTTAAACCCGTATATGTGCTTACAACGAAACAAAACAGAAAAAACAGCTGTTTTGACATTTGTTGCTTCTAAAGTCGATGTGGTCTGTTGCAAAAACATAACAAACATAAAAATTTTCTTTTGATGTTAAAATTCTGCAACAGACGTGTATTCGCACTCTTACAATTTTAGTATAGCATTCTTGCATTTCGTGCATCTTGCAATGAGCTTGCAAGACAGAGTAAGATATTAGGGGTATCTTTATTAAAAGGTTACCAACTAACTATTGTTCACATTGTGCTGGAAACGTGTTATGCGATTTTCTTCTAATCTTGCGCTTTAAACTTCATTCCATATACAGCACAGTTATAATACGATATAGTTATTACTTATTAAACCTAAGTTGATAAAGTCTACATTATCCAAAGCAAACTTTTTTGTCAATCAAAAGGCTTAAATGAGGATTTCAATAGTGTGTAATTTATTCTCGACTCTCTCTCCTTATTCCTTCCTCACCACACCAAATCCTAACCCATGTATACGTAATTGTAATTCTTTATATATTTTCTGGTATATATGTCGCCTCCTGTTACAACTATAACAATGTAGTTTATCGATGGTTTAAATAAAAAAGAATATATATAATTAATAGATCTTAAGGATAAATATATACTTACTGAGAATATTGATGGTCATACACAATACCTGGACATAGCGCACCGCTTTTTTTGTCTGACGTTACTCTATTTGTAGTGTCAATAATCGAATTTATATTATTCGATTTATTCACCTATATTGTGGACCGGAATCCACTTTCAATTCAAATCATTATTTTATTGTATTAAAAATTCATTGCATCTATAATTAATTAATTTGTCAAGCTATTTAAATAAATAACAAATTATTTAAATTGTAGTTATAAATGAACTGTAACAGTTAATCCCTGTTAATTAACAGCCAATTAACAGCCATGTTAATTAAATATAATAGGTATTGGGGTTCGCAGAAATGTTGCGAACTTATCAGAGTTTTATTGCCGCGATAGTTATATTAGACATGGAATTAAAATAAGTCTAAAAAAATCTATACATAACTGTAAATATACTAATCATATACAACTTCTGCATATACAACTTCTAAAGTGATATAATTTTATATATTTTAGATTAGCAATGGGACCGTTGATGAAAGTGATTATTCTGAAGAACACGATTCACCAAAAATTTTTCATAAAGCTTTCTTCCGACGCTTGTCTTTCAAAGGATTACGAAAGGGAAAGGTTCGATAGAAGCATTACATTATATATTGTACAATATAATTACGTTTCATATATACTTAAAAAAATTCAGAACAGTAATTTTAAAATGTTTTAATATTAGAATTTTCTCTTCTTACAGGCTTTATTCCATAAGAGTTCGGACGACGATAGCAGTAGTAAGCAAAGCAAAACTAAACTAGCTAAGATTGTTGTGGAATGCCGTAAGGAGGGTATTGTTAATAACTTAATTCCTGAAAGTGTTGATCAACCAAAGTGGGAGAAATGTAAATTGGTGTTAGTTAAAGCAGTTGGTGGCTACATGTTGGAGTTCTATACGCCACCTAAATCTACAAAGGTATGCTTTCGTGTAATATTTATATATATATATATATATATGAAAATAACTAAAAAATTTATATATAATAATTTTTTTTATATAAATGGTTTTAGCCCCGCAGTGGAGTATTTTGTTTCTTAATATCAGAAGCACGTGAAACTACAGCATTAGAAATGCCAGATCGTGAGAATACGTTTGTTTTAAAGGCTGACAACAATATGGAATATGTGATTGAAGCGCAAAATTCTGAGGAGATGCGCAGTTGGCTGGCTACAATACGCTATTGTATGCGGACACCGCCTACTCAACAACCGACTATAGAATCTGATGTGATTGCAGCTGCAATGCAAACATCTCCTGTTACTGCAAATCCTAATAGCAGTTTAATAGGTGGTAGCACAGTGAATGCTGTACAGAATCCACAATATCACCAGCAGAACGCATTAGGGTCAAATACTAATGTGGCCCCCAGCAGTTCGATGTCAGATAACACACTTTCAACAGCTGCTGCATTAGCACCTGTTGACGGTAGCACGGTTGTAGAGACAAATGTAAGCACAACTAATGCATATGAAACAGCCACCAGACGTGTGGGACCAGGTGAGCGAGGTGAACAGCGACTCTCTGCCTCGAGTAATTTTGACGCTACCGAAGGTGATGAAGAAGGTGGTATTAATGTTGCTGACTTGACTGCTGAAATGCGTCAATATCCATGGTTCCACGGTACATTACCACGTGCTGTTGCTGCTCATATGGTATTGCAAGCAAAAGAAAGCGGCCATGGTAACTTTTTAGTGCGTCAAAGTGAAACACGCAAGGGTGAATTCGTGCTTACATTCAATTTTCAAGGAAGAGCCAAACATTTGCGTATGACTTTATCTGAGAAAGGACAATGTCGTGTGCAACATCTATGGTTTCCGTCAATACAAGAAATGCTTGAACATTTCCGTACAAGTCCAATACCGCTGGAATCCGGCGGTACATCTGATGTGACTTTAAAGAATTGGGTGCATAATCAAGGTGTATTTGATACTGGAGAGGGCGAAGGAGGAGGAGTTGGCGGTGGTATTAACGGTGGGCATCAACCGCAACAACAACCATCGCCAAGACATGTGAGATAGCCTAAATTTTGGAGTCAATTCAGTGTCAGTGATAATTTTTATTTTATTTTCATTTCGTAATTCTTTGTTTTATCTTTTTTTAAATTTTGCTTTCATTTTATTTTGTGGGAATGATTTATAAATCACTTAATGAAATATGAAAAAACTTTTAATATTTGTATTTTGCTTTAAATGATTATGGTTTTATACGAATAATTTAAGTTTTAAAAGATTGGCACCACTTCCTTTAGAAAATGTTACTGCTTCTCTGCATGATTTCAAAATTAAGATACTATTTCACGACAAAAAAAAAAAATACAATTAATTTAATTTATAATTGTTTGGTAAATAAATAATTTTTGTTAATTTAATTTTATTTTTACAGCCAACAGAAGTGATTACAATGAATCTAAGTGTTCGCCTAAAGACTTGTGAAATTGAATTGCCAATTCTCCATCATTCACAGCCGGCGAACCAGCATCAGCATCAGCTTCAGCATCAGCATCATCAACAGTTGAGTCCACACTCTCTTACAAATCAGTCGACGCTGACTTTACAACAGCAACCAATTTCACCAGCAATTAACACACAGACGTTCCAACAACAGCTGCGTGCATCCACAATTTCGCTGCAATCACAAGCAACCACAAGTCATAATCAACAACATCAACAGCACTCTAGTCATCATCATAATCATCACGGAATCTCGTCTACCAATGATGCTAACGCAACACATGAGACGGGTCGTGCTGTCGATAACCAGTATAGCTTCGTTTGAAATATGGCCAGATGATTTTGATCCAAAAGACAAAATAAATTTAAAACAACGTTGACTTATACGATAAAGGAATAGTTGATGATGGTAAGTGATATTCACAGAGCGACAAAATATGTAAATAACATAGAAAACTTCTTTATGTCCAAAGGCGACAGCTCTAAAATAAAACCTGCGTTTTAATTTGAATGATATTTTGTTTATACCGATTAGTGCATTTCGATAACTTACGAAATATAATCAAAAGATGTAACTTTTTGGAATGTTTTATATTTATACATAATACAGTAATCCCCCCATATAACGCGGTACTTTTATAACGCATTTTCATATTATGCGATTTCAATCCCCCGTATAACACGGGCATTCCCCCATAAAGCGCGGGGATTTGTACAGTTCATAATTAGCTTCGCGTACCTTTACACGGTCTATGTACCTATACGGTCTATACGGGAATACCCTTAAAACGCGTTTTCCTATAACGCTGAACCAATCTACTGCGTTATAGGGGGGATTACTGTATATGCAAAGTATGTGCCATTGAATATTTATATTTTTAAACAAATATACACTTTTGTTTTTAAATGTTGTACCAAATTATTTTTGTGGACTGATAGTTTTTTTTAAAACACTTACAATCCTGTGTATAATTGATAATCACAGGAGTTATTTTACAATTTAGAGTAACATTTTCAAATTTTACTCCAATTAAATTCAGAAAGCAGGTTTTATTCAAAAGTAAATGCAAAAATTTATTACATATAAAAAATATAGTAGGAGTGAAGTTAAATAGATTATATTTTTTATGATATTATATATAATATTAACCGTTCCTCTTAAATTTATGCACATGTATATTTGTTAATTTAATGCTATAAAAATAAATTGTAAACATAAATATCTTCTTATTTAAACATAATATAATATATACATAAATATATAAAATATTTTTAATAAGATAGTTGTGAAAACTTCAAACCATTGCTGTAAAATATTAATATACGATATAACTATAAGCTTTATATAAGGGAATAGCTTTTGAAATATGTATTATTGAATAAATATAACAACTTTAATGATATAAACATTAAAACAATGCCTAAAAAAATAGGTGTTAATAAACGGGGTTCATATATGATATAGAGCTGTTCACATTTGCGTCCCCTTTAAAATTTTTTTCAACTTTTTCTACCAGTTTATCACTATCATTGCTTGCACATCATCAATGACAAGATTTTTCAAATAAATTTGGCTACAATTTTTATTGCTGTTGTTGGAACATGGAATAGAAACATATAGCTTAGAATGTGGTGAGGAGAATGCATTATAATAAGACGGGTTGTTTGCCAAAATATATATCTGCAGCTATAGTCCTTATAGGAATTATAGGAAGTCCTTATAGGTCGTGTTGATGAGTGGCACTTGAACGTAGATTGAGCCATTCTTGGAACCTAGTACCAGATATAATAAATAATAGGTTTAAAATCTGTTTTCAAATAAATATACTATTCCAAAATATTGTATTATAATTGATGGTCAGCAGTTTTCAAGAGAATTTTCATTCTTTTACAAAACGTTTACACTATCATAATTAATTCGATAACTATTTACCACTCTAGTGTCATTTTCACTTCATGCAAAACCATTAAGGATAATTGCTTCTTAAAAATAGAAAAAATTATTTTATACTTATTTTTTACCAAAAAAATACTGCCTTTAAACATTCCAAGTTATGTCAGGTTTATGGATGGTTTCTATATTCATAAAATACTTTCTTTTCATTGTTTCAAATTGTTCTTCTGGGAAGGTAAAAGTCGTACGGTACCAAATTAGGTGAATTCAGATAGTAGTTGATGTCTAAAACACGAGTTTTGCCAAAAAAGTCTGTCACAAGTGTTAATTCTTAAGAGTAAGTTTTGGTCGTCAGTGAACTTGTATGGGACAAACTGTAAACACAGTTTTCGGTAGTGGAAACGTTCAGTTAAAATTCAGTAAATTGTACTTTCATGAACTTTTATTTCATGGTTTTTAATTTGTATTTTTAGGCTTACCATATACCTCTTTAGTGTATTACCAAATACTCATTATCAGTGGTTTTGGAAAAAAAGGTTTAATGACTAAATAAAAAAACCTAATCCATTTTTTTTGTAATTGTTTTTGTGCCTATAACAGAAATATACTATCACTTCAGATAGTATTATAGGTATGTAGTAGTAACTATTTTCTATTTGTCTAAATGTCAAAAAATTATGACAGTAATTTAATGAATGAGATCTCTAAGGCCCATGTTATGTAGAGTGTCTCAGGTACGGCAAAATTCGCTCTTTCGGACTATGCCGAAAATGCATGTTATGTAGACTGTCACATCAGTATTGCCAATTTCGTAGTTTTACAATGCTTTGGTACTTTTTGATTGTACCTAAATTTAAAAGAAAATGTAGATATGATTACTTTCAATTTGCCAACAAAAATAACCAACTACAAAAAACTCATAGAGGCTGTAATGTTAATTGCTTATTATATTTTCTTATAATAATTGTTAACAGTACTTAACAGTACCAACACAGAACCAAAACATATAAAATTGTAGTAATTTGTTCCTAAAAGTAGTAATTTGAAATAAATGATTAAACAACACTGCTTTGTTTAGTGCCGAGGCACAAATACGCCGGTTCTCAT